TTCTTGTCAGCTACTCAACAAACCCAGTGTCACCTAACAAACAATGTTAAAAAAATACTCCTCTGTTGTAAAAAATGAGAAACAAGAGCTTTCTTGGAAATTGGTATGATTTGTGATTTCTTATACCCAAGAAAGAAAACAACTTACTAGAAAGACATTGCCTGAAATAAATAAATTAATAACAATTTTTCTGATGATCTTTTGTGGGTATAACAATTAGCACAATGGCACTTCATTGTCATACTGTTCCTGTGTTAAAAAGTAAGGACATTTCTGAAGAGTCTGGTCCTCAGTGTGATACTGCTGGGCTGCATTTTGTCACTATTAAGGGTATTTAGACAACTCAGCAACAGGGCCCCAGCTCCTTAGGAAAGAGGGAAATGTTTAAAAATTAAAAACAGTCTTCAGTATTTACCTCAGATCATGGAACTTTTTAAGGTATTCTTTTCCTTGTAAGCATCAGGGATCAACCTTCCTATTTCTCCCCATCTTGTTCAAAAGCTCTGGTAACAATGACTCCTTTAACTGGATTTTCAGTGGAGTAAACACGTAGCACAGTAAAAGAACCAGTGACTTCATAATTTGAGGAATTACATTTAAAAGGTTTTTTTCTTTCTTTGGAAACCTTTTACAAAAGATTCTGAAAAGAAGTTGCAAAGGAGATTGTAACTTTCCTGACCATGAACACCAGTGTAATTTCTTTCCCTTCTCTTCTCTGCAAGAAAGTACTCTTGTTTTGTGTCTTTTGTGAAAAACGAATACTCAGGAGTTCGAGATTTCTATTTTTCTTTTTTTTTTTTAAGACAGGTTTTACAGATTAGTATCTTTGATCTTTGTAGCAAGCATTGAAATCCAGAGAAAACCCCGCCTATTTATGATTAATTCACTGCAGTTTGGAATATTTGATAATGTCTAACAGATCTGTGGTAAAAGCCAATGTCATTTCACAACAGAACCCCACCCTGGGTCATAAAGTGGTTCTTAGCTGAGATCAAGCCAGGCAAGTGTGTAAACCCCAGGTCCACGTCTGATTAAAGCAGTTACAGGGGAGGTATGAATGGAACTGGCCAGATGCTGCACCATATGATAAACACCAAGGACCATGGCATCCTATAAAACTGGGCATTTATATGGTACAGCTGGCTATGCATAATCTTCTCCTAATTTACAAGGCTGGAGCATCTGGTTCATTGCTGTTGCTCTATCAGCTTTTCTGGAGGCCTGTTCTTGAATTTCTGGTAGATGAATATTGCTCTTCTGAGTGCCACTGGAATGGGGAGTTAAATCCATTTATAGTAGGAGATAAACTCTTATTCTCTCTGGCAGATCAAATATGCTCAAGCAAAGTCATGAAAGACAGAAGGGTAGGCCATTGTGGGATGGGTGCCCCTTCACAACAAAATCCACAGCTGCAGACTCTAAAAGAAATAATATCTGTTTCTCACTGGCAGGACCCTCAGCTGTGACAGAGAGGCTTGGCCAGATGAGGCCATTGTGACAGGCTGTGACTGCAGACATCCCTCAGCAAGGTGGCAATATCACAGAATAGTGATATATCTCAAGTCCTGCTTTTGTTACACTACTTGATCTTTCCCTCCCAGTGCCACGGCCCTAGAAGTCAGCATTTCTCTCTTTCCTGAAACAGAAGCTGGCACTTGGTTAGAAAATGCCTGCTGTGTAAGTGAGAAAAACAAGAGACAAGTATTTTCAGTTGTGTCTTGCAAACTTTTTGTGAGAAGGAGCCAAGCCAACAACGTGAAAGCATCCTGAACTGAATGGTGTGCACAGGCACAACCCCCTGTGGAGCTGTGTGCCAGCCTGGGCAGCTCTAGAGATGTGGACCTGCAGCAGATGGTTTGCTTGTGCCCATGAGGAGAAAGAGAAAGGAGGACTAGAACTCGCTCTTCCAGGTATTTCCAGACTGTCTTGTCAGCAGGAAAGTCCCAGTTATAACTGAGAATGCTTCCTCAGTTCCAGCCTGGTGGAGTTGTAAGCAGCAGTGCAGCATGCAGCCTAAGACACGATTAGTGTTTTTTTAAAGTTACAGCATTACCAAGTCTATCTAGAAGCTGTGAGTGCAGATCACTCAGCCTTAGGGGAGAAAAAAATACAGCAGCAGTCATTCCACCAAACCCTTCCCCAGTAAAATTATATGTCAGAACAGCACTGAAAGAAAATTTGCATTTCAAATGGAAAGGGAAAATTTGCTTTTGCAGAACATCATGGAGTTGGCAGTAATAAATCATGGTACTGTCAGAATGGAAGTGGGTTCCCGCAACTCTTGCACTGCTTTCTGTAAGCCTGTGTTGTTACTGAGGAAGTGAAATCTGGTTAGCCCACAACTTAGCACACAACTGTGCAAGACTTCTTCAGATCTTCAATTGCTTTTTCCAGTATACATAATTTTATCAAATTGAAAAACTTTCAGATTTCAAATGTCTTCATAGACCTGTAGCATGGCAGCTGCTACCTAGCTATTCTTAGATAGGTCTGAATGCTTCAGATACTCCTATGGCTCTACCTCTTCTTTGTTCTCTCTCTCTCTTTTTCCCTTTTTTTTTTTTTTTTCAATGTTTTCTATAAAACAAATTTATCCTCTGCATCTGACATAGGGTACAGTATCTGGAATTGTCAGAATCTGTTCTCTGATAAAGCTTTATCTTTGTGTAACAATGACAACGTGAGCTGCTCTAAGGAACTAAGTGAATTTGAGAAAGAACTTTAATTACTACAGATACTGTTTTCAGGCTGTGATAACCCAAAAGTGAATGAAGGCTGTGATAACCCACTGCTGAAATATAAGGCAGGCTATTTCTTAATTGTTTGCCTGGACAGTTTTTCTGGCCAGTGCAAGAGGGGCAGCAGGATCTCACACTTGTCTTGGCACCAGGTATTGGAGAGAGATTCAAAGGCTTGCTTCTCAAACAAATCTTACCTAAATAAAGAAACTGTGGGATATGAGTGGGCAAAGCAACTGGAAGAATTGAGAAAGGAGCAAAAAGGGAAATGTGGTGAAAGAAACCTGGTTTTATGGTCTAGATGTGGATATGGCTGGATGTCTGCAAACCAAGTTATTCAAAAATATCATGTAAAAGAATCAGGTGGTGGAAATATTTCTTACGTAATGATCTCTTTCATTTTATTAAAGGCAAGAGTGACCAGCATTAACTTCCTTAAACACAGCCTCTTCTCAAATGCCTACTGCCAGCATCTTGATGCAGGTCTCAACTCAGATGCCTCCAGGGGAGGTGCTAGTGACAGACCATGAAAAATGCTTTGGATGTGACTTGAGAGAACTCAAAGTCTGTTACTTAAACTGAATTGATCCGTCTTTGTGTACATGAATTAAGGGAAAAGTGGACAGTGATTACGTAGCTGGGACCTCCATTTTTGACAGGGCTTGCCCTTTTGTATCTGGGCCACTCTCACCTCCACTAAGATTCTCATTACTTACAGACCTTGCAGATCTGCAAAAGTTATTTCACCTCTCCCTCCTGGTGTGGCTTAGTGAGTCACTGCTCAGACTTGCACAAGCAATTTTTTCCTTTGTATGATTAAGGACTAAAATTATTAGAATTCACAGGTAATGGTCAGCATTCAGCCACTATTTACTGTGAAATGGCTAAAATAGAGGTCACAGAATTCTTAGGTTTGAAAAGGACCTGTGCAAATCATTCAGTCCAACCCCCCCGGCCAGGCAGGGCTACCTAGAGGTGACACAGGAACGTGTCCTGGTGAGTTAGAATGTCTCCAGAGAGGAAAACTCCATGACCCCACTGGGCAACCTCTTTCAGTGCTTTGCCACCCTCAATGTAAGGAGCTTTCCCTCAGATTGAGGGGAAAGTTCTTGTGTTTTAGCCAATGGCCATTGCTCCTCATCCTGTCACTGGGCACGAGTGAAAACAGTCTGGCACCATCCTCTTGGCACCCACCTTTGAGATATTTACATGCATTCATGAGATCCCTTCTGTCTTCTCTCCTCTAGACTAACAGACCAAACTCGCTCAGATGCTTCTTACAAAAGAGAGGCTCCAGAACCCTCATCATCTTTGTGGTTCCCCACTGGACCCTCTCCAGTCACATCATGTTTTTCTTGTACTGAGGAGCCCAGAAATGGACACAGCACTCCAGGTGTGGCCTCAATAGGGCTGAGTAGATGGTCAGGACCATCTCCCTTGACCTGCTGGCCACGCCTTCCCAATGCATCCCAGGATACCACTGGCCACAAGGGCACTGCCAGCTCATGGTCATCCAACAAGATTCCCAGGTTCTTCTCTGCCAAGCTGCTCTCTAGTCCCAGCCTGTGCTGCTACTTGGGATTATTCGTCCCCAAGTGCAGGACCCTACACTTGGCCTTGTTGAACCTCATTAAGTTTCTCTCCACCCAATTTTCCAGCCTATCAAGGTCCCACTGGATGACAGTGCAGCCTTCTGGTTTATCAGCTGCTCCCCACAGTTCTGTTTCATCAGCAAACTTGATGAGGGTCTCTTTCCTTTAACTGTCTTTCACTGAATGGAAGAGAGGATCTTTCCTGTTATAGTTTACATGCATTCCTCGCTAATCACATACTGGTTTCACTGTCAGAAATATAACGTTGGGGGTACTATGAAGACACTGTGAACATGGAATTACTCCTGTGTTGCACATTTCTCATTTTAAAGAAAGGATGCTTTTTTCGTTTTCTGTTATAATCGTTGTAGAAAACATAAAATATCTAAACCTTCTATTTTATAGATTGTATCTTAATCTCAAGACTTAAAATACAAAACTCCAGAGGCAATCTTAAGGATATTTCCACAAAGTCTTTTTTCATGGTTTTATTCTTATATTGCAAGTCTGTTTCCTTTGAAAATGCAAATACATACCATCATAAATTGTAATACAGGACATACAAAGAATCCTTGACCTTCATGTAGCATAAGATGATCGTGATGAATCAAATAATTTAATGCAGCAAAGGTTAGTTTAAAAAGTATCCAAGTGTGCATTCCAGACATAGACAGCAGATGTTGATTTACAGCTGGATCTGTGATGGAAGGCATCTTCTGCCATTATCCCTGTAGTGGGGAAGAGAAAGAGGATTGGTGCTCGCATGTGCATTTAAGCTGTGTGGTATTAAACTGAACTGACATTCAATACATGCCATTCACCTGCACCTGTCCTGTTCCTCTGCAAGTTGTTTGCAAGTCCAGCTCTAACCTGAGTTTCCAGCTCTTTACGGTAAGCGAAAAAAAAAAAAAAAAGACAGGAAATCCCCGAGAAAGTGACTCCCTCCTTAGCCTAAACCCACTGACCAAAACCATGAGACACCAATGCTATGTATCATATGAAGCAGAAGAAAGAAAAACTTCTGTGGTTTTAGGGTACAAGATTGAGAACAGAAGCCCAGGTTAAAGCTGATGCTTTTCCAGTTTTCCTCTGTTACCCGAAATCTGAGCTTGCTAAGGCCAAAATTTTGGGTTCGGTCTTTGTACTCTCCTTGCCTTTGCACCTGCAAGGCAGGATTGACAGCAAATCTTTTGGCTAGTCATATGATATGTGACAATAGTCTAGTGATTTATGTAAGTAAAAAACTAGATTTTTCAGATCACCTATAATTCTTGCATTTTGGCCCATGGGAACTGATTTATTTTTAAAAACACTACATTGAAGAGTGGCCATGAAAAGGGGACAGGTTAATTTTAATTAAACCATCAGATCAATTCCTGATCAGAAAAGGCTGGCAGAGCTTGCAGGAGAATTGCATGTTAATAAAGTTGGGAGTCACTCATTTTTTCTAATTATTACTTGACAGAAAAAAATTTTTGAAAGCCATGCTATGTGTAACTATACTATGTACAACTGTTTAAAGAAAGGGAAGAAGCAGATACTTCCGAGGACAGTGACAGCATGCAAATAATTATCTATCCCATTCCTGTAATCACCTTGGCTATTATCATTCTTATCTGGTGTGCATCTGAGATCTTACAAGTATTTCAGCCAATATCGTCACATGGGACAGCAGTTTCTATGACAAACTTTTTTCTGTACTTTTGGAGAGTATCTGCCTTTGGTGAGGGGATAGATCTTAACTTCCAGAGTCACGTCCAGTTTCAGCCAGTGACTTACCTGTCTCAGAGGTGCCAGCCCTGTCACTGCAGCACGGTGCATTGCCTGCTGCTGTAGGCACTGCTGTGGTCCAGCATTGGCACGTACATTTTAGCCACGATGCAGTAGCTGACTCCAGGCCTCAAATCTTGTATTTTAATAACCTTCTCTTTCCCTTCATACACCAGGGCCCTGTGTTGCTTCACACAGAGTGGAGAAAAAAGAACCAGTCAAGCACATTTCCCTAGCAAGTGTGTCTGTGAGTAAAGTTTGATGAGAACAGAGGATGCAGAACAGCAGATGGACTTACACAAACTCAACAGCATTAATGTTTACGCTGTTTAATATTTATGCTTTTTTAAGAAAATTCCCTCCCCTGCCATTCCTCTCCTGTCCCAATTTTTTAATCTAAGTCATAGATTATGAAGTATTAAATTGATGGAAAATAATAAAAGGAGGCATTACAACTCAATGCAATCAAATGCAACTCCTGAAAAATAAGCCTACTTTGTTTTCAAACACTTGCACAGTCATTGCTGCTCTCACAATCCCAGAAGATTGTTTCAACAGTAAAACAAGTATGGTGTGCCCACAGTTTTCTGGCTTTTCAATTGTAAAGGGTTAATATCTGAATATATGCTTACCTCATCTAGAAAGTTGTTAATTATGAAGACTTGATACAGCAGATCATAATAATTTGTCATTGGTATGTTGCTGCCTCTTTTCCTTTTATAAGGAGAACGTGGAGCCTGGAGCTTTACTATTATGGATTTGTTGCTATGAACCACAGTTACCATTGGAGGTCCTATCATAGCTATGGAAAAAAACAAAGCTATAAACACAATTATAGTTTATTAATAATATTTCCTAGAATGCAATTTGAATCCATTCAACAAATGCTGATGCTATCAACAATATATTATGCTGTATTTACTCCTCAAGTGACACTTTGTAAATTCTTGTTTCTTGGTGTTTATTGGGTTTGGTTATTTTTATTTTGGAGGTAATATTTCCTGTGTTTGTAAATCTATCTTTGAGCCAAACCTTTTGAAATCCCTTAGAGCTGATGTTAAGGGCTGCCTGGTCAAGAAAATTCCGAAATTGCCCTGATTTTCCCTCGTATTTGTCTTTGTGCTTGGACTGCACAAAACATCAATTTAAACCGCTTCAGCTATGCCAAGGATGCAGTTTACCTCATCACTTTCAAATACTTGGCAGTTGCCTTGGTTAAACACAGCTAAGGCTTCCAGGTAGTGCCTGCATAGCTGTGTGTGCAGCACCAGAAATGTGGGGACACAGGGCAGCAGCTGCCACGTGAACCTCTCTAGGTGGAGGGGCGTGGCACAGGGTGAGATGTTCTGGTTTTGCTGCAAGGTCGTGCTTTATGCCAAAGCTTGTGGTTTCATCTGCACAGGAGGCTCAAGGCAGTTTGCACTTGGGGGCTGTGAAGTGACCCACACTGACAACTTGATTTTGCGTTGGCCAGTGAGGGAAAACAGGTCAATTCATGGTGAATTACTGGTGGGTAGACTGCTACTGTTCAGCGTTTGGGCAGACCTCCATTTCTAGCATATGGTGGCACTATAATGACAGTGCTAACCAAAACCTTTGCACATGTCCTTTCTATGTCCTTTTCTGCAGTCAGGATAACACATAAATTTGAGAAGAATAGTGACCACACACCATGCAGCTCTCTTCTTTCTTCTCCTCCCAAAGAAAAAATGCTTCCTTTTTTATTGTCTTGAGTCCTGTCCTTCCAGCAGCTTCAAAAATGCCTGAAAATAATTTGTGTATTTCCATGCCTAGAGGAAAAGGTTGAATTAAAGGGATCGTTTGGTCTCCTGGTAAATGGCTATTTAGGCATAATCACTCGGCTTTCAGGTGTGTGGAGAATTACTTTGACATAGCACTTCACCTGAGAGCCATTGACTCACTTCTTTATGTACAGCTTTGTGGCTAGAAAAGGATTACTCATGTTTGCAAGTTGTGAGCAGAAATGATGTGTTCCATGCCACCAAAGATCAAATTCCTTCCTAGGGTGTAAGAGCCTGATGGAGACTTCAGCCAGCTCTTAAAATGCTGTTTATTGCATAGCTGAGGTTACAGCAGTTGTGGGTTGTGGGTGAGCCTACAGATGCTGGCTACAGGCAAGTCCTGTGTCCTGAAGCCCCTCTAGTTCTGGTTACAATGAATTATATACTTTTCATTACAGAGCATCTTAATACATGACAACCAATCAATACTTTTACTATTACCTATAGCCTATCCTAACCACTAATATTACCATATTCATGTTACTATTTCCAATCACAAAAGGTTAGTATGTTACAGTTTAAGCTAGAAGTTGTTTTTCAGTTTTCTTGCAGTAGAAAATTTTGAGATCTTTTCTCTACTTTCAACACTGGCTTTCTTGTTTGCCTGTGAAAATCTTTTTGCTTGGTAAAAATATCTTCTGTTTGAGGTGGATTTATCCTTTGCTCTAAGTCCTAAAAACCCTTTCCAACTCACTTGCTCTTTGCCTTCTGGTTACTCAGTAAGACTGGCTCAGCAGTTTTCTTCTATATCAAAACTTGCTATCATTTCTATTCCTTCTTCAGATTCTACATTCAAAGATCTTTCAGTTATACATACATATCTGTGAGACCTTCCTGTCAAATCCTTATCCTTTCCAACACTGGGGGACACGTATGTTTGCACTTACTTTCTCGCCAAGGAGTGAATCTGCAGCTGAGGCTCCAGTTGGAATAGACACCAGCCAAGGCTGCTCTCACTCTGCTGTAGTAAGGCTCCTGGATGTCAGAGGTCTCATGTGTTAGGTCACAGACACGACTTGAAATCCCCCAGCACTCATCTTTGTTTTGCCAGGTGGACTGCCCATACCTATGGAGAAAGAGGAGGAAGGATGTAAACTTTTGGGATCACTGCCATTATCCATGCAGATTCTTAGCTATCTGTTTTACTCTCGTGGCACTGACAAGTGTCCTGCCATGGAAATTAACTGCCTTCAGTTTGATAACAGGGAAAGTTGATTCCATGGGTGTTTGGGAGCTACAGGTTTGTGTCTTTTCTGAAAGAAATCTGAAGCAGAGACATGTGTCACCAGCCCTGTAAGAAGCCTCCTCTTAGTTGCTCCATGGGAGAGGTGGGCAAGCTTCAGCTTAGCCAGTGTGTTCAGTGATGGGTAAAATGCCAGGTTTCACCAAAGAGTTTCTCAAGGGCAATAATCATTTCAGGCACTCACCAGTGTGCCAGGGATGGGAGCAGACCCTGAAGACCAGCCCCTAATGTCTCAGTCATGCAAGGCACCCTGAGGCAGTGCCGTGGGCAAGGTAGGCCACTGAAATGCCTGAATGTTCTATTGCAGAAGAACTTGACCTGCTTGAGGCAGGTGGCTGGACCCAGTGACTTTCAGAGGTCCCCTACAAACCACATTTTGCTTCGAATCCTTGGTGCAATGAGAGTGCAGAGCACAGTGCTGGAGGCACTTACTCCTTGCCTGCCTAGTGCTGCTTGACTGTACCTTATGGGATTGATAAGTGCAGAAACAACTGAGAGCTGACAGCCAAGCAGGACACGGCTATTCCCCAGGAATGAGAGCATCCTGTCACCTGAGAGATCATTTTGATGTGCCCAGCACAGCAGGAGGCCCCGATACTTACACTTTATACTGCACAAAGTAGAGTGCATCTCTGGCCTCTCTGGCCCACCCAGGCTGCCAATGCAAAGTGGTGTTGAAATTTAACGAATGGAACTCTACCTTCTGTGGCTTAATCGAATCTTGCAGGTCTTGGTTTTCCAAAACTAAAAGCGCTGCAGACAAAAAGGAAGGATAACATAATGTGTTTGTCACAGACACACTCCTCCATACTGGAATCAGAGGGTATTGCTACAGACTCTTGAGTTTCATGACTAGCAGACCACAGGGAAATTAAATCTCCTGGATCTCATATTCAAAACTTTCCAAGTCACGAAATCAAGTGGTTACAGAAGAAACGTATTTCAAATTATGAAAGGAATACTTTTATGTGGTCTGAGTGTTTGGAGGTGGGGTTTTTTGCTGTTTGTTTGTTTGCTGTTATTTTGTTTTTCTCTTTAATTTTTTCTTTTTTGTTGTTTTCTTTAGTGAGTTTGCTGCTGTGAAAGATGCCTCATGCACATCTTCGGATCTATCCAAATGTCTATCCAGAGTCTGCATTAAGCAGCCCCATCAATACTTAAAAGTCAAGTGCTCTTTCCCTCTTTACTCCACAACTCAGCTTTAACCTGAACAGATTATGGCTCTTTTAACTGTTGCCACAGTCATATTTACCAGCTCCTGCCTAATAAAGAACCACCTGAAATTCACTGCTTTTCCTGTCTGTAGCACTGGAAAAGCTGTCTGACAATTTTCAAGACCATCTATTTTCAAACTGCAATACTACTTTTAACTGATTCAGTTAACAACCCCTACGAATCATTCAAATTCCAATCTTTTTGTGGGTTTTGCAACCCAGATGACAGCAGCTTTTACCCTGGCATAGCACAGAATCAGATCAGATTGTACTGCCTGAACTGAAACTGGTAATTCATCCATGAAAAAAGTCTAATGGGCAACATGTTCATTCTATCTGCACTTCAGAAGTAGGAAAGACAAAAAACCAAACTAATTTGAAAGTGACTGGCTTTTGAAACCCACAAAAGGATCCAGAGATTTCTTGGCTCATCCAAAAACTCAATAATGAGCCCTGTCCTCCCACCCCCCCATCCCCCTCCCGTACAGGAAAAGAGCAAAAAGCCCTTACTTACAAGTGGTCTCATCCTGAAGCAGGTGCATCAGTAAGCAGAGGAAGGAAAGCATGATCCTCCTCATTCTGAGGAGAGAGCTCCATGACCGAAAAGCACCTCTCTTCCTCTTGGGCATGTCTTATGCGGAAGTAATTGTTAAGCACTCCAGAGTTCCCCTTATTTTCAGTGGTTTCCTAAATTCCCCGGTTTGGCTTTGCTTTAATTTAGCTGGAAAACATATGAGTAGCTCTAAATTAAACCTGAGCAATTGTACTTTCTTGGCAGCTGTGGTCATGCAGAGTTTGGAACTAATTATGAACCAAGCCATTATGAAAAAAGTCCTTTTTTTTTCAAGATGCTAATTCCCAGTTGATGTCTGCCAATATTGCTTTATCCCATAAATTTGTCACAGAAGCTTTCTTGCTTGCCATGCTAAGACTTTTAATATTTATTTATTTATTTACTTTCAGCTCACTAGCCGCTCAGAGCTGAAGAATACAAGAAATTTTGTTCCAAAAAATATAAAAGACCTACCCATGAGATGTGCTCTGGCTTGATGGACTGCCTCAGGGCCAAAAGCAAGAGATGGAGTTTGCAGGTGTGCTGGTGGCAGGACATCATCTAGGGGGCTGTCACTGGAAGAATGAGGGGCTGTGAAATCACTTCTGGCTGTTGGGTCGCACGTTCACCCCATGCTGGCTGCACGGGAGATGCGATGCTGGGAGGCTGGGGAAGTTGCAGGACTGACAGCCTCCAGACAGGGATTAGGAAGGTAAGCCCAGCCCATGGGGCCAAAGTGCCACTCTGAGCTGGACTTTCAGACTGCCTGGAATCATATGCCCCAACTGGTGCAGGTGTGCTGCAACACTGCCTGCACAAATATTGGCATTTGTCGGTGTTATCCCCTGGATCCTGCCTGCCCAAAATGTCCATCCCTACAAGCTTGACCCCAGGGCTAGGGATGCTGAGGCTCCCCGGCGGAAAAATTTCACTTTGTGCTTGCAAGTGCTTTAGTGCCACATGCACGTCTGCCTGGTGGGAGATGAGTTTTGTGCTCCTGGATGTATGGAAAGCTTAGACAATTCGGTTGCTGGAGGTGAACGTGGTGTTACTGCCTGGCCTTGCCCCTCACTCTTCCCTTACCAAAAGCTCCCCGATGCTGACACCCACTGGTACTTCACTGCTTGTGCACTAGTGCAACTAAGCAAAAGTCAGGACGCAATCTCTTTTTGCAAACTCATGATGATAAGCAAGAGGAGGAAAATGGTAATTTTATAAGATTAGCGCAGCCCTGTGTAACGATTTCCACAAAAGGAGTAATGGCTGTGAAGGCTATCTGTCTGCAAACAAAAAATTGTCATGAAATCTTCTTTACTTTGGGACGTGGAAACAGAAGACTTGTCAGGTCAAAAAAAAGTTCAAGTTCTGGTTCAGATGAACTTATTTAAAGGCCACCAGTTATACTGAACAAACTGAACAACATCTAGTCAAGAAGCTGACCTTGGTCAGATAGATGGGCAAAGGGTCTCAGTTCAGCTGAGCACCTATACCTCATTATTCTAGCACCAAACCTACATCATATATAGTGAAATGCTAACTGTATAGCTTTAAATAATGAATTAGTCAAACCGATTAAGGGAATTAAAGAACTGAGAAAAAATGAAGAAAAAAACCCACCAAAATGAAGGCAGAAGTCAGAAAGTCTATCTCCGGCTGCAGATTTTTTATCTATCCATTTCCCAAACACACCTTCAAAATCCAGTGACCTTTAAATAGTTCCCCACACCAAATTCAATTAATATTTCATCACGTTATATGAGCTCAAGTACGGGAATAGGGAACTTTTACAAACTAATCACTAGACTGGGAAGTCATCAGTGTTTCGTCACAGGTCATGTATTTGTTTACTTGAATTGTACACACCTTCTCATATCCTGGGAAGCAGCCCATTGCCTGGAGCTGAAGCGTGAACCTTTGTCAAAGTTCTTTTTGATGGTGGTTCCTCCCAAGAAAGCAGAGCTGAGAGCCAGCCTGCCAGTGCGTTTTGCTCGGAAAAGGCTGCTGTACAATGTGGTGAAACAGGGCAAGAAATGTCTGTCACATGGGGAAACCCAGTGTTTCCTGTGCACTGCACTCCCCGTGTTTTATCTGCAGCTGGGCTCAGCATTCTGCAGTAATTGGTAACTCTTCACATAATTTCTGTTGTCCTTGAAATAGCCGCTGTTCCAATAGGAGGTTATTAGCACCTGTAATACTGTGCTACTCATCAGCCTCAGTCACGCTGCTTCAGTGCTTTGTGTGATAAAAACGACTGCAGTCTAAGAAGGACCAGCTACACACACACACACATGCAGGCATGTACATACATGTATGTCTGGAGTCTCACAGAACATGTATTTAGTGAATATAGTGCATTTCAGAATGTAAACTATTGAGGAACACAGGATGATGCACACTGCAATGCTATTTAAAATATGAGAACATTTATAAACAATATTAAGGGTATTCTGAACAGTACTTTATGAAGAAATTGAAAGCTAAAATTTATTACTGAGCCCAGCAGAATCCACATAAGTAGTTATGCTACTAGCTCATCCTAGCTTACACTGCAGCATCTTTCTGATACCAACCATTGTGAAACAGTAGAACTGATCTTTTTGTGAACCAACGTAGAAAACCATCAGTATGAGATTTTTTTCCATTGCTGGAACAGAAACCTATCTGAATGCTGGGTAAACAGCTTTCTTTCTCTTGAGGACAGATTATTGCTACACAGAGGTAAAAGTCAAGTACATTTTGTTGAAAGCTGCTTGACTCATTTAATTTGAAAGGACCACCTCCTTGTTTCTCTTTTTTTTTTCTTTTGCCCTTGAATGAGTTGTTTCCCATACCTAAGAGGTGAAAATATAACCCTGAAACTGCTACTGTAGCACGACCTTTAGCTTTTCAGATGCGAGCCTGGTATTTGCAGCGGATGTGAGAGTGGGTTTTGCTTACATGCCTGGATGAGGATGTGGGAGGAAGAAGAAAGCATACCCCAAGCATACAGAGAATACTTCTAGTAACCGGCAGAGGCAAGGCAATTCTCTCTCAATGCGTGGCATTGCACATAAAAATAGAAAAAGCGAGTGGTTCATGCTACTCTAGGACCTAAAGACTATTTGCAATTGGAGCCACAGTTTTCAGTCTTTTCTAAACAGCCAGTGTGGACTCAGAGGAAAACCTGTCTTGGGAGAGGGCTCAGGAGGTCATCCAGTCCAGCTTCAGCACAGGGCTAGTGACAATTTTATCCCACAGTTAACCACTTTTAATGTGAGTTTCCTCCTGCATATCCTAGTGGGATTCCTCTGCTGCAATTTATGACAGACGTTTTTTGTGATTTTACTGGGAGCTTCAGAAAAAAGTCTGCCATTTCTGCAAATGCTACATTGGCTCAGTGGGGACTGGGAAAGTGAATCACTACACTACAAACAAAACCTAAAATTAAAGGAAGGAAAACCCCTACAGTCAGGCAGGAGGGGCTTTTTGGATTTTTCTTCCCTGCTCTGTAGAGAAGAGACATTGCATCACATGAGTTGTTACACAGAAGTTTCTGAGGAAGCAACACAGACTTTCACTGCACAGTGTGTGCCTTCCCTGCCCACAGGTACAAACTTCTTATCTCACCATTAAAGAGCTTGGGTCAACATTTTAAAGATTGCATTTAGAAATTCCAGTGCTGTAGCTCCATCTACATAGTGAGACTTTTGACCATATCAAAGATGAAGATCTGCTGTAGGCTCAAAAAAAGCAAGTCATCATTTGCACATGCAGTATTTATTTTAAAATGTGCAACACACTGAATTGACCAGGAAGCTAGTAACCAACAGTAACATTCATTAGGAACTGAAATTAACATCAAACCCCAAAATAGCTCCAAGTCTTTTACTTAGATAACAAGTTCCCTTAAAATTGTCAATTTTTCTTACTTGCAAAGCCATAGAATTATATTTTTTTCCTACCACTAAGGAGTGCTGTAGCTTGTTTAAGCCCACTAAGACACACTTTTCAGGTTGTGGATCCCTCACCAAATCATCTGCAGACAAAAAACTACCAACTTGGAGATATGTGAAATCAACATTCCAGAATTTGTCGATTTTTCTTAGGTAATCTTCATAGCAGAGTAAAGGTGCCAAGTGCTCCCTCAGCCAACAGAACTCACAGATAAAACTGGAGAGGTACATCACAAACATTGCTCATGCTTCCTTGGTCCACCTACTAAAGTAAAGAAAGGCTCAATTTTGATAGTGCCAATGCTCTCTGACACCCTGCCACCAGAGGCAGCTGAGGTAACTCCTGAAATACTGGTAGTGTGGGTAGGATATGACCCACACACTGACTTTCCTGTTGTACAGAGTGGTTCAAAGCCTCTGCATCTGATCACAAAGTCCTGTCCAGACCACATGGGGCTGACTCAGCACATCACACAAGAAGGGCAACGGGCTGGCAGGCCTGCACTTGGGAAAAGACACAGAGAACTGGGATGCCTGCCTCCACATTTGTCATAAAAAATTGAGCTGCAGGAGAAAACACTTTTGGTAGCTACTTTGGGCAATAAAACCTGGAAAGATGCAAGCTCAAGGGGTTTCCCTGGCCAAGGGAAAAAATAAATACAAGGAAGAAAAAAAGAGAAACTGCCTTTCACTCATTTCTTCTGCAAGGAGAAATTTACAAGCATCACACTTTCTAACCTGTGGTGGAGTTCTGTGATTGTGTTTTGAATTCTCAGTATCATTCTCCATCATTCAAGGAGTGCAAACTCTAGAGCAGAAAGTCCATTCTTAAAACAACCATTTACCACCATCATCTTCAAATACCTGATGTATAGTATAGTCACTGTTGTTTCACAAGCCTTTTTTGTTTTCCTTAATAAATACAGTGTTGAAGATCTTGCGTAGATAGTCTCTGAGCATTCTGTAATTGGTGTGCTAAGCTTTTCAGGACAGGACCCTTCACACTTAACTGGTTTTCACACCTGAGAGGTGTTAGTTTCGAGCCTACTGCAACATGACTGTTTAACCACTAAGATCACCTGGTGATTCCTAAAGACAAAAAGCGCTTTGTTCCATATTCTTTGTCTTAAAGGAAGTTTGGTGTATCTCAAATAAAATTGCTAGCTTTGCTGCACACCCTGAAGTAATTGACAATTGTTCAATATTCACCAGCAATTCTTCGTAATTCACCATCCAAATTCAAAGTACTTTATTGCAATTTCTATTCATATTTGGGGGGCGAGTACGAACTGGTACTGTATTAAACAAAGCCGATATAAGGCCAGAGTGATACCTGAGATTATGCCATACCGAAGAAGGGACTAAGAAATGGCAAAGATGCTCTCTACCTCCTTGCTAGCACTGCCCCCTAGCCATTCAGGCAAGCTTTTGCAAGCCCTCCTTCCTTGTTATAACTTAACTCACACTTCATCACATACCACAGGCCTTAACTCTACCAAACCTGGCAGCAGAAAGCACACTACACCACATACAGTTCCTGGCTTCTAGACTAGACCTGCACAAGCCCTCCACCCTTCCTACAATTAACTGAGCTGCTATAAACTTGCAAAATATGCCACAAAACATAACACAAAAAAGTCATGCCCAGAAAGAAAACAAAGTGTATTTATTTTTGTTCTTTTCGTTCTCTATTTTCAGTCTGAAAGGACTCTATTTACTCTCTTTGAAAGGGTATTTTTGAAGGGATACAAGTTTTTGAGATTATTCAAGCGATGTTGGCACACAGAAAAAAAGCTGTATCAGAGTCAATAATCTTAGTGCTGTACTGTGCACATTACAAGGATTTGACAACTGCAGGATTAATTTTTCAGGACACATAGCAAGCTGGCGGGCAGAACCTCTTGGCTTGCTTGCTCACCGTTTGCTCTGCTTGTAATGCTTTTCCTCTTTCAAGCTGTGTCTGGACGGCAAAAAATAAAACATCACACAAATAGACTTCTGTGAGCATTTAAACATCTAATGATCAGCAACAAGTTTCAAGGAAGGCCAGCTTTCCTCGCTCTGTAGCAATTATTCCATTCAAATAGTTTGACTATTTGATCCTTGTCTATAATTTTTCAATAGAACATAAGGAAACATCCCCAGGCTGAAGCAATAGGACTGCTAAGTTACTGCAGGCTGCATCAACACCAAAGGGCAGAAGAGAAGTTGCAATGCTGAGGATGAAGATGGTCAGCAGGATCCAGGAACTGGCTGCACACAGCCACACACACAGATGGGCCACACACATCTCCCCCAAACAGTGTTTGGATTCTCAATAATGACCAGGCATACACCACAGAAATAACATGAACCGAGAGCTTCAAAAGCTAAGTCATAAAAGAGGCAAGGACACACGTTTTTCTTCTTAGATTTTTTTTTATTTACATATTTAAACGTTTAGTATGTACACTATTTACAGGAATTTCATTATAGATTTCAGCCCTGCATCTGTTTAGATAATATAGAAAGAGCATTAATAAACAAGAACTTCATAGTTAAAGGACTGAACTATAAAATAATCACACTAAACGAATCTACACGGATCACCTTTTCCTGAGATAAAAGGTGCTTTGTACTTGATTTGTCATTTTGGTTGGGTGTTTTTGCTTTTGTGTTTTTGGTTTTTTTAAGACGTGCTGAAATTATTAATTTGAGCCAAGCACAACATCTCTTACTTATTAATACTCAGCTGATTACATGGAACTACTTCAGAGCAACTGGTTATTCCTAACCCTGAGAAAAACAGGTTCTCGTGCAAGTTTCTTTTTCTGCAATCTTCTAGTGAAGGATTACATAAAAATATGCAAGTCTGTTCCAGGCAACTGGGATGCTACATGCTGTCTTGTTTCCACAGATATCAGTTGGTTTGACAATTTATTTTTTTTTAAACTACATAATTCACTTCTGCAGAAAACAACACAAAATTTGATTGATTTGATGTTCCTCTGCCAGCACACAGTACTGTCACAATACTTCATAGTTAATTGCAGATCTAATAATAAAGATTATAATGCCCACTCAAGAACAAGAACTAAAGAAGTTCTTAGAAATGTTGGCAGGTATGAGGCCAAAGTTTTGTGAAGTTCTTTTTCACAGGATATAATGTTTTGGGAGTCTTACATTATCATCCAAATCATCTTTGAGCGAGAGGAAGGGAGCAGTGCTAAGGAGCCAGGACAAGAGTAATAATCAGCTGAAAAGGTTTGAAGTGGCAAAACCTTATAAGTGTGTCATACTGCATAGCTGATAGGCCTATAAAAGGCATGAATATTAAATTATTTTCAATGTATAAATGTTAGGCACTTTCATATTCTGGATCTAGGTGCTATGTATGAATATTCAGAAGCTCAAGCAAACTACTTCATCACAAGAATATTAATCAATTAAACTAACTCAACTGGACAAAAGTATATAGATAAATACTACCTGACAGGTTCCCGGCAACATTGCTCAGATATTTGATAATACAGAACTGCAAAAGCAAGGCTAACTAGCTGCAGCTGGAAAGCCATTTCCATTCCCAACCCAATAAATCATCAGACTGCAAGATGGTGGACTGCATCCAAACAGAGATCACCACCATGAACTGCCCGATTCTTAGGCTCTCAACACCACTATGGGCAACTGCTAAAAACAGGACTGGTGGTAACAGAGCTTACTGACTCAGGAACAGATCCTTCTCTTACTGTGGCCTCACATTTTCAGCTAGTCACAGCTAGTAAAGAATCCTGTGCTCTGTGCACCCCTAAGCTTCTTTATTTCATAATTACAAAAGCTGTAAAGTGGCCTGAGCAATTTAAATATCTAAACTATCCCTGTGCCACTATTTAAGTACGCAGCACACAGAAGACAAACTGCAGGGATGGTGGTAGTTCAGGGGCTTTTGTATTAATAGTTCAGAAATTCTGATTAAGAAGTACATTTAACCTTGTTTCACTTCAAGAGCAGGCCTGTTGTATACATATGTGATACATCACAAAGCACTCATACTGCTGTTCTTGATTTTCAGCTTCTAAAATAACACTGCCTTTCCTGTACATCTGCCATGCCAGATTTTCCCCAGGTGTTATGATATATTTTTGCGTCATTTCTTATTGATCTTAACATATCCTATTGATCATCACTCTTAATGATATCTTAGCTCTTGATTGGGTCCCTTTACTCACATTTGACTCCATGTGATTTGAAAGATTCAGAAGAATGCACAATATAATTGTATTGCAGGGGTAAGAGAAAAGAACCTGAGATAGTCACTTGGTTTTAAATGTGTCCACCTGCATTCCCCTTCCAGTGTGTCAGGAAAGAAAAATCTTCCAGAACAATAAAACACTTAGATCACACAAATCTAAGATGCTGAGTCTTAGTTCTAACAGCAGCAGGGTTTCCTGATGCACTGTTAAGAACGCAATAATGAAAAAAAAAATTACATGCTTCTAACAGAATCTTGGTTTTGAGGCAGATACATCAAATCCAACAATTGCCAGAGTAATTCCTGATGTTCTCGGACAACGTCAACATTTTATCTATTTTTTCTGACAAAAAACTGACAGAAGGAAAACAAACTACCAAATGTAAGGTTAAATACTCTGAGCAGTTGCAAAGAAAATACTCAGCAAACTGCCTGGTCAGAAACTTGTTCCCACAAAGCAAGACTAACTTCAGTTTCTAATGCTCCCTTTATCCCTTCAGAGCCAAGTTTAACTTAAACACTTCTATGACATTTATAAATTCCTGAGGTATTTATTGCAATTTATATTAATCAAAAAACCTCTAAACTCAGAAAGAAATTACATCAGCTCCAATCTCTGCACAAGACTCAGCTGCTTATCTACTTAGTAGACAGCCTGCTAGGAGCTGCAGTGACCTGGAAAGTCAGTTTAGTTGAAGTTTCAAGTGCAATTAATGCTGATTTTCAAAAAGTCTTCTCCTAACACCAAGAGTGTAATTTTCTGCACCTCTGCCACGGGGAGACGTACTGCATTCTACGCAGTAAGTCACTAAGCACTGCCTTCTGGGAATTCAACCCAGAACACAACATCGAAAAAGCTGCTAGGGAGTCTCACCATGTTTGAATATAATGCAGAAACAAATCACAACCAGTTAAAATTTGCTAATTGGGCTTTCCATGACATCATAACTACAAAATTCATCTGCTTCATTTGACGTTTCCTAAAATTATCAAAACCCTGCTAACCAATCTGCTACCTTCCTGGGAGTAGAGATGGGAAAAATAGCTGTTGTCTTTAAATCTTTTGTACCATTGTGGTCAACATCTGATCGATACAAACAGAAGCACTCCTGAAACTTCTGTATAAACTAACTTCACCTTAAGTGACTCATGTCACTGAGAAATTTAAGGACAGAAGTACTATGACACTGGTTTTACTTTAAAACTACCTCTTTAACATGCTAACAGTTCTGATAATCATATAAAAATTTCTTTTAAAATAAACCCACAATTTTGTCTAAGTGGACCAACTTCTACCCATAAAGGGTTCTTTTTTCCCTGAACTAAACTTCATTAATAATTGCTTTAAACATCTCCTACAAACAGAAAATACCTATCAAACCTTGATTTGAGGAAAATAAATGGATTCCATAATTTTAATATGAAAAAAATTAAATATAAAAATATAAAATTCTCATTCCTCAGTTTTCAAAACTACCATCTCTATGATATAAAATTCAGAAGGCTGTCAGAAGACAATAAAACTTATGAAGTACAACTTAATCACACGATTTTTCTATTGTCTTGAGATGTATTTTTAGAGGGTGATTTTGTGTTGTTCCTGAGTCATGTTATTAAAAGGGGAGAAACAGCAGTGATTTTCATCCTTCTAGAAAACATGCTTGGAAGAAGTTCTAATAATTTCTATTTAAATAACATATTTTTCTAAAAATTAGGATAAAAATGTCCCAGAAGAAGCCAGGCTTTTGAATTTTGAGGACATTTCCTAAGGCATTTGTGAAACCACCCATTGGACTTTTTTTTTTCAGTGATGATCAGTCATCTTGCTAATATATTCTGCCAGAATGTGACAAGGTTACTCACGCCACTAGGTGAAGTGATCCAAATGGGTGCAGCTGTACTGAAGTTAACAGCAAAGACTACAAATAACTGATACTTTCACAGAATTGTTAGGGTTGCAAGGAACCTCTGGAAATCATCTAGTCCAACTCCCTGGCAAGGTAGGGTCACCTAGAGCAGGTGACACAGGAATGAGTTCAGGTGGGTTTTGAATGTCTCCAGAGAGGGAGACTCCATGATCTCCTTAGGCAGCCTCTTCCAGTGCTCTGCCATCCACCCTCAAGGCAAAGAAGTTCTTCCTCATGCTGAGGTGAACTTCTTGTGTTCTTAGTTTATGGCCATTACTTCTTACTTCTTAGACATGGAATGAAATTCCTCAGATATACAGGAAGAGCTTATAGGCAGTCTTACTTAAAAGAAATGGCAACATTTAATTTAATATAAAAACAGTTTTCAAAAGAAAAGGTAAGTAAGAGGATACTTCCAATAACGGCAAAAACTCTCAAACATTTCTTGCACATCAATCATAATCAACTGAAGGATTTCTTAAGCACTATGTACATAAAACTAATTTAGAACAGGATTTGAAGCAGAAGTGAATAATGGTACAGCTGCTGCTTTATAGTGGATGGTATGTTTTCTATAGAGTATTGTTAAAAAACATGGCACTATTTCAAACAGGAAATAATTTTATATATGATATAACTCATTATTTCAAAAAGTGGTTATTATGAAGTTTCCCCACACTTTTTATGCCATTTTCAGGTACTATTTTCAATTGTGTACTGATCAGAACAAGTACAACTTGTAGATGTTCACAATTTAACCTGGACTTTAGTAATGCTGCTCTGAGTTGTGGTTAAGCACTTCAGTTATCCTGGCTACTCAGTTGGCCTGTAAGCATTCACAGGCTGTTCTTCACCAACATCTATCATCAACACATCTAATGGAACATGAGGCTTGTCATAGCCAGAAAACTTGAAGCAGGTGCTTGGAATGACTGTTCGCTGTGTTTCTACGGTAGAAATCTCTGACCCTGAAGATGTACTGCATATATCCATTTGGCTACCTTCAGAAATGAAATAACTCTCTTTTACTTTGCAATTTTGTTCATCAGCATCAACAGAGACCTCCTCTGTGCTTTCCTGCACAGGCACCTCCTCTGCTTTGGCTGGTGCCACCTCTGGGGAAGGGACAGAAGATTCGCCATCACAGGAATTCACAGGACTAACAGTTTGTTCTTCTGGCTCTATCTCCAGCAAGGTTACTTCACCATTCACTGGCAACTCCGAGTGGCCTGAGGGTACGCAAAAATACTTCCCCTCTGATTTTGGTACCAGTAAGGCACCTGTGTTCAGGTTTCTCATCACATTGACCTTAAATGGAGAAAAAAAAAAAAAAAAAGACAACAACTTTGAGTTAAAAAGTTGGAAAAATATGTAAATTGATAATAACAAATTTAACATCATTATAACCAATAACTGCAAAATTAAAATCTGGCACAGTCATTTGCCTATGTCCATGAGTTTAACTGTTCCAGTAACACTTGTATGCAAGATCTCAAAAATGCTTTCTTTAGGCAAGCATATTTGCAACGATCTATCCGTTCCATGTCACGCACTATATTTTGAAGTTTCCAAGACAGAGGAAAAGGGCAAAAGAAGACGTAATACTCTTCAGCTGGGGAAAAACTTCATACTCTATAGCTAATGTGTACAACTTACAGTGGCTGTGATAATTTCTGGCACCTGCCTCAAGTAGGAGGGAAACGAACAACATAGCCAGTAACCACATCTATGCTGAAGTCTCCCAACTTATTTCACAGAGCTGCTGAGCAGTTCCTCAATGCTGCAACAAACTTTAATGTTTCACTTTGAAATCCCTTCATGGGTTGAATTCTTTCAATAGCCAGACCACAGCTTGTTTTAAACAATTATAATATGCCTTCAGGCTGCTTAGATTCTTTAGGTGTTTTGGTTTTTTAATATCTTTCAAGAGTACACACACATGAAAAACAAAGTAGAGTAGATTTACAGCTATTTGATGGCGTTCCCTAAAGATAACAGAACGCCTAGGGAGAAAGAGTTAATAGTGACCTTTCACAAATTTCATAATTCACTGTGTATGGTATCACACAATATCAAGTAGTATAGATCCATGAATTTCTGAATAAAATACACAATCACTGTTAATTCAGATACTTTGCAAAAAAAAAATTTGCCTGAAAATTCACATGGAGGCAAATCTGCAAGAAAGAGATGGATACAGGAGGAGAAAATACAAAGTAAAATAACATCAAGAAAAATTACAAATAGGCACGAAGTCTTACATTAGTCTGTACTAGTCTAAAACTGAGTGGGCCATCAAAACCAGATGATTCAGTCTGACTGTGCTTTTCAAGAGTCTTCCCTGATTTAATGGTTGTAGGACTGCAGCTTTATATTCATACCTTCAGAGTGTGCTGACTTAATTAGAAATTGCCTTCATCTCTCACTTCACCCCATTATCTTATCCCTCAGTAGCCCTGATACCTATTGATGCTACTCTGTGGTTAAGGCTGGATCAATAAAAGCATTACAATTTAGGAAAACCAACCAGCCAAACAACAAACACCACCACAAGTCAAGCAAACACTCCCTGAAAAGCAGTTTTACAAACAGCTGTGTGAATATCACCTAAGTGAGGCAATTCCCTGGGGAATCAAGGGTTGCCATTGAGAAGTACATTCAGGTGGCTCCTGACAACCTGAATGCCACTCAACCATCAGCGTCTCTGGATCTTTATTTTCTATTATGAAAACAAAACAGTACATAAAGAACATTCAGAGTAATTTCCATGAGAATTCATGGAAACCACTCATTCATAAGAAGCAGATGCTTAAAAGTTAGTTCCAAGTAATAGATTATAATCAATAATGGGTAGATACTGAAAATGTTAAGAACACCTTAAAGTATTTTTTGAGAATCTCTTTATATAGGTATATTGGCTATATATCCAAAATACTGGGTACTTAGGCTATACAAGAGTGATCTCGAAGGGACCAGCACGTGTAGTTTTTTTGGGTGGGGGGTTTACCAAAAATCTGACTCAGTTAAATCTGACAATAATCACACAGCAAGTGACAAGAGAAGGTAATTCTCTGTGTAAGGTAGAATACTTGAGGAATGTGAATTACAACAAACGATTACAGAAACCATGGTCAAAAGCTGCATTTTTAGCTTTCCATCTCTCCTCATACCAGTCAGTACACGCTAAACTGAAGTTAAAAACAAAACCCAGTGAGTTCTTGTTTCTGTCCTTTTAGGATTTTCACACAGCTCTAAAAAAATCACAGTCCTAAAATGTGTTAAGGGATCACCTTGCATTCTACACAGCTCCAGCATTTCACAGCGAGTGCTGGCAATACTTAAAAATAAAGTACATATTCTCTGTACAACTACATCCAAGACTCCTCAAAAAAGGAAAGTCATTTTTCTCTTGACAAGTTTCTGACCAAGACACTCCTATTCCCATTCATGAAAGAAGGAAGCGATCAGAAGAAAAAACTCCCGTGTGTTTCCTGGTACCAAAGGTTTTTTAAGAGTCACTGAGTCATGACTACAAGACAACTTAGCAACTCATGCAATTGTTTCTAGCTTCAAAGATAAGAATCACATCTTATTACAGTAACTGAATGCTTATTACAGTAACTTTCAAAAGATATTAAGCAACAAGTGTAATTAAGATATGGTTGCTATATGAAGAAAAGTATTTACTATAGGTAAGTTAATATTTTTCTTTTATTCACGTTACCTAATACTAGCAAACTGACAGCCAGTGATCTTAAGATGGGTACTGGCAGTATTTCGTGGCATGTGTAAGTATTCACATTAACCGCCTGTCTCCAGTAACAGCCCTTGAGCTTTCAGGTCTCAGCAGACTTGGGAAACACTTTGCTGAAAGGCTCAAGGACACAGATAAATAACATATCACAAGGAATCCACAACAGTTAAGGTAATTAACAAATTCCTGCCTAACTTCCTTTTCTAATGAGGTGTCCACCTAGGAATTCCAAATTATTTTCAGGTACACATTTCATGAAGGAGTGTTTGAGAATTCCATTTTAAATCAAATCTTTGTGGTCTTTGCATGGTTCCACAAAATATTAATGCTATGTAAATTTATAAAGAGAAGACTATGTTACTGCCCTCTATAGATGCTCACAGGGGAATAAAAAGTTTTCACGAAAGTAATGAAGAAGCTTCTCTCTTGTAAGATGACAATTATGTGTTGCAAGTGTCAGTTAATATTTATAGGAACAATTACTTTCGCCACATCAAAAATATATGTTGTATAACTAAAAAAATGAACCAAAACAGAGCTGCAAAGAAAATTCCCAAATGTTTTGTGAATATCCTTAAGTGTTCTACAAAGACAGAATACAGCCTCGTCATTCCTGTCAGAATCAGAAAAATCATCAGCAAATAAAAGAAATCTAGGCTTAAGTAAGACTCAACTTTTACTTTTCTATTATAGAGCAGATGCTTTCTACTCACAAAAATACTTGCCACCATTCAAAGATAAGAGACACTGAAGAAAATGACAGGGACGTTAAAGCAGAGAGAGATGCCCACAGCATATCAGAAAATTATGGTCAGGTTCCTTTAAAAGTGGGTAAGCCCTTATGACAAATCTTAGAACAAAAATCTAGTATAGGAATAACCACAGGACAAATTGCAATGACTGAAGACTGAAGATGGGTGGAAAGAGACAGCCTTCTGTAATACTTTTTGTGAGATAAATAAAAGGAAGTTTTAACTACAGCTGAACTGCTGAAACATCAGATTCCCTTGATTCCTTGATGACTAACACGAAGTCTTGTAAAGGAATCTATCCCATTTCACATATGCATGTTCCTGGTAGGAACAGTTCCTACTGTTTATAATGATATTTAAACATTTAAACAGACATGTTTTCTGATGAAGACAATCACTCATTGCCTATACCGAATGACAGCTGCACTGTGGAAGCAGGACCAAGACATGACTGATATGCAATTCCTGGGAGTCACAAACACCGTAGAAAAGACAGTATAAAAGCTCTGGAGCTCTACTTGGCAATGAATTTTTTTTCTTTTCTCTGAGTATATAAGACTTGAAAAAGTAGCTGTTTGATGATTACTCTTTCTTATTTTTCCTTCTCTTGCGAAATCCCAAGTTGCTGGAAGTCACTCAAATGTTGTTTTAGCATCTACTTAAAGCTGCCAGGAAGGAGATCACTGAAAAACAGAAGTCCTAAGGTAGGAAATCTTGTCCAGCCTTTTAACAGATGGAAAAACTCCCTAGATGCTTTATTTTCAGACAAGCTCAGGTAAAGCACAATGATCATAACCTGTACAGAAAGAAATGCCTAGTATATACTGAAAGGTCAGTGACAGGCTCCAAGTGCCATTAAGTATATAGAGATGTCACATGATTAAACTTATCGTTCATAGTAATTATTTAAATTGTTTGTTCATTACTTTAAATGATCAGCCATAAAAAAAATATGCTTAAGTTATTGATAACTTATTTTACATTCCCATAGTATTCCTATTACCTGTATTGAAAGTACCCCTATGAGCTCTACAACTTATATTTGTCATTAGAGACTTCACTGGAAATGGACAGAAATAGAGAATATCCTGATTTGGAAGGGACCCACAAGAATCAGTCCACCTCCCGACACCACTCACGGCAACCTGGGAGTTAAACCACACATCTCAGAGCATCTTGAACAGGATTTGGGCAGTGACCACTTCTCAGGGGAGCTTGTCTCAGTGCCTGACCACCTAGCTAACAATATTTATAAATAGTTATAGGCTTCATTCAGCTCCTTAGCAATACAATATGATGTAGCATGTAAACCATATTGGAACCTAGGAACCACAAAGTAACATCTAGCCCAGTAAAATGAGAGTATGGGCACACACATGAGTTTCTACAAGGCAAGCTCAAGCGTGAAGTTGGAATATGAATCAGGAAGCTCACAAGTGTTAAGGAGCACACATTCAATTTGTGATATTCTGCTTCTTCATCCTTTAGATGGGATATCACAGTGGTACCAGAAAGTCAAAGTAACTATGGATCCATTGAGCACAGCACTCTAATCCTGCATGAGCCATCTTTTGCTCACAGAAATTACTGTTGTGTGTACAAAGGACACGAAGTTACATAATTAGACAAGCACTCTCTGGTGTGAAGATGAAAAGGTCTCCAGCGTCCCTAAAGGCCTCTGTGTTTTGATATCGGGGCCTAGCTGCAGACGTCAGAGAGATTTCTCTCATCCGATTTTTTAAAGCCTGCAGTGTGAATGGCTACTTCTAAACTAGTCCCCTGGCTCCATCAGAGTCCATGGAAAAAAACCAAGAATTTCAGAAAGCATTTTGTCTGACCAGAAATGCATATAATTTCAGAACAAAATTAATCATCTTGTACTACACAAGTTGTTGGACTAGATCACTGCTTTACTACAAAAGGACCACCTCTGGCTTGGATATTTCCATTTAGTCAGACGAACCTCATCTCCTGCTATTCTATTTTAAAGAATGCAGATTCCAGAGGTATCTTGGGCTTTGACCATGGAGAGGTCATTTTCAAGGATTTTGGAACTGAAGAACATGAAATTGAAGATCGTTGTCCACTCTTTATAAATGAGACTTCCTCAATTCACTGAGAAGATAATCTTGCTGTGATTTCTATTTACTACTGCCTCAGGTGGCAGCTCTTTGAAGTTGTGGTAGTTCAACCTTGCGACTGACACCAGAACATTACAGCAGTAGCTCTTAGATACTCCACTTTTCCCTGACACGAAACCAACAAGTGCTGCTGCTCTTTAAGGAATATCCACTCTGTTTCCTAGGGATGGCTACAGGAAGTTTTTAAGAATGAACAGCTGTTGACCTCTCTTCCGTGTAACTGCTCAGGGTGAGAACAGACTTCCACCTCCTCTTCCTACAGAACTATTGCTCTCTACCCTAACGCTAGACATTACTAAGAAAATGGTAGAAATTAGCAGAATTCCAATACTACTGTTTAATGAAGGAATCTCACAGCTCCTGTGCTGTGAGAAAAAGGAAATGGGCACAAACTGAAACACAAGTAATTTTTTCTGAATGTAAGAAATACTGTGAGGGTGGTTTAACATTGGAATAGATTGCCCACAGTAGCTATGGAGTATATTTTCTTTCAAGTATTCAAAAGCCATCTGGACACGCTCACAACTAACCTGCTCTTGCGCTTGAACAAAAGGCTTTGGGTAGAAAAGTGTCTTCTCACGCCAGTGATTCTGTGGTTTTGTGTCTCTGCTACTAGAGTGAACACAAACCTGCCTTGGTAAGCACACAGAGAGTTTCTAACAACCAAGTTCTCAAACTAGACCAACTACTGCTACTTCAGTTAGAGAGACTGAAGTCTAGCTCTAAAAAAATAAGAGGCATCTGGTTGCAAAGGCTATCACAATATTAGACTGGCATAAATTCTAGATAGCTATGAGACCATGATAAAAAAGCCAAAAAAACCCCAACCAAACAAACCCAAGAGACTGGCATACAGATACAGTAGATATAGAACTTACCAAAGACTTAGGCAGCTGTATGTTATTTTTCCTTAGTTTCTTGCAGCCACAATATACTGTCGGTATTACAGTCAAGATCCCAATAACAACACACAGAATGATGATAAGATGTGTACCTAAGAAGTTAAAGCAAAATCTACTAGGAATTTTGGAAAAACAAACCACTGCTGTATCATTTAGAATAATTTCAGAAATCGTAATAGCTCAGAATGCTTAGCTGTAATGTGTGATTTTGTCAATCTACGGCCTTTTTTCACTCAGGACAACTTAATCCATAACACTTTTATGGAGCAAATAAAAATCAGAATAACAGAAGCTTTTTAATTTATATAAACATATTCACATTTTTACAGAAACAAATGAATTTTGCAACAATTTTTATGTTTTTAGAGATTACAGATGGGGATGATGAGATTTATACACTTTCTGTGTGATAGCATATTAACTGACATAACTATACAGAGTTTATGTACAATAAAAGTAAAAAATGAAATCTTCCAAAACACAGAATAGTTAACAATTACTAGTAAGACTCCACTAGTTTGACTCTCCTTAATGCCCTCCCTCATCCAGCTGCTCCTGTGCATTCAAGAAAACTGCTTCTGCTGAAATTACCGGCCATGATGAAGTACAACCACAATGTTTGGAAGAAGTTCAGAGATATAAATCTGGGTCACTATCTGCCTCTTATTCTCTTTAATTAGGAAAAAGACATTAATATCTTATTTTAATGACCATAAGTTTATACTTCCTTCCAGTTAAAAGTCTGTACACATCATCCTCAGTGATGAGGCTGAGCAAGAATCCAGTTGCTAAAAGAGACAATGCCTACGAAAACCACATAGCTCAGAGAACGATCCATTTGTGATTTTTTGAAATTACACCAGTGTTCATGTGCAATAAAAATAGGTTTTGTGATACCAGCAACACAGGGAAAACACCCCAAAAAATTCAGGGTCACTTGTAATAATATATGATTTGTAAAGATCAGAACTGTCAAAGTGCATTTGGAAAAGAATGACTAAGCTTTTCCTACTTTCTCTAGTCTCCCAAAGGCATCCCAAGCATCAAATACTTGTTAGATCATATCTGTCTCCAGATTCAGTATGTTCTTAATATAGCATTAGAATCCTCTTACTCAATGCCTGGTTGAAAAGAACAGAAGTGCAACTTTCGTCTGATGGAGTGCCAACCATCAGATCTTCAAAAATTCCTTTTGCTGAAACACAGTAAGTGGAACTCTCAGTAGGAACTGGGATTTTGAGGCTACACTTATGCATTGTACAGTTGTCCTCATAGAGTTCTTCAGTCTGAAAAAAAATGGAAGATATATCATTTGACTCACTAGAGCAATGTTACAGTCTACTTTCCACCACCTCCAAAAATGTTAAAATACTATTAGATGTGTTTCCTACCTCACCCATACACATTGCAAAAGCTGTGTGACCATCAGCTTAGTGGCTACCTTAAGATGCTGTATTTGATCAGTGCATGGTATTTTGCAGCTAAAATTTCTGCTGTGCATAGTAGAGATTCACATTTATAAAACTTGTACCTGGATGCATATGAAAAGCTTACTAAGTAAACACACCTGTTGTAATTTTCCTCACCTTCACTCTCCACAATTGCTAAATAAACTGGTGTAAGTACTCTGAAAGGTAATTCTCTTAAATGAAGTGACTCTTTACTCAAGTGAGAGGGGCACAAGTTATCAATGTTTTGGCACGTATGCAGAAACAGCAGCATGTGATCAAGTAACACTTATCTTGTGTACAGCTAATACAATAATCTAATTTTTTGTAAGCAGTCATTTGGACAACTAAAATACAGATCTTTCATTCACATATCTCATTGTAATGTGCTCCACATTTTAGGTGTTCAACTGTTTCCTTGGTACCTGTTAGCTCCATATGTCATCAGCATAAAACCCTTATAAAGGCATTTAAAGCAAATAAGTGTTTTTAATTTTAGATATTATTTTTGGAACCTACCTCATTTTTACTATCTCGAACATTCACCAAGTACTGAAGCTTTGAATAAATGTCTTCAATACAAGAAAGAGGGAATAGAGGATGGTAAATATCTACCAGGATTTTATCACCATGTCTTGAGAGATTCAGTTTTGGTGGTCCTATTTTTCCTGCAACACATTACACCACTGGTATTAGGCCAAAGTTTTTAACATACAATATGGTATTTATAGTTAGCTTTCCAAAATTCATCAGAGTTTTGAGGATAATTACATATTTATTTCCATGCTGTTAATATTCATTGCTGCGGTAAGACCTCTCTGTTGCTTAGAAGTAATGCAGGGATTTGGATACATTAACTAATCAGTTTCTAAAATGGAAACAGATTGCCAATGAAGAATTTCAATGTTAAGCAATTTAACTTTCCTACATACATAAGGCCATAAAAATTCAGCTGAGAACAGATAAAACTAACAGCAATTAAACAGATACATGAACAACAACCAAACATAAGATCCTGCTGACTAGATCCCGCCATAAATCACCTAAGTTAAAAACAATACTGCACTGAAACAAAGGCTATATGAAAAGCTAAACAAATCTCACCACGAGTACCATTTGGAAACTTCGGATTTCCCATGGCAATGGCCTACGTAAACTTTTCATGTCTAATGGTCTGACTAAACACAAGTTTCTTGTTCAATGGGAAAAGTATTTTGTCTCTCTTCTCCATACATGGCTACCAATTTTCTGGGAACTGTCACACTGAGCGTTACTAACATGACTTGTGTCCTTTTGTCAAACTCTAGAAACCAGCCACTATTTCAAGTCATTGGACTGAGTGGGAATGGAATCATAGCAGAAAGCAAAGAGGGAATCCATCAGCTCCAGCAACGCAGAAATCCAGTCCTAGCTAAAGCGTAGCCCAAGTCAGACAGAATCTCATGGGCCAGGTGCTCCCTGAAAGCTGTATGTTGGGAATGAAGCAAGCACGGTAAGGAGTGTCGCAGTCTTTCCTGACTCTGTTGCATTTCCATGCACTGCCCATGCAATGCCAGGGCCTTCCACACTGGATTGCAGACACAAAACATACTTTTACAGTACTGATGTTAAAGACTGATCTTTTCCAAAGCAGTGCGAAAGATTTCCATGAAGAACTAGTAACTTAGTTATCCAGTTACAGCTTCTAGGTAATACCTAGACACCTGAAGCTATCAGTATATGGCATTCTAGTGTCAAGCAAGACATTGCAACTTCAGTGATGCCTAAAGGTCCATGTTGTCTGGTGACAGCTTCCTACCCTAATGTGCAGTCTGGAATATGGGAAGGATTCAGACTGCACCATCAGCATCACCTTCGTGCCTTTAGACATTTTATAACAAATACTCAAGACACCACAGAGTCAGAGCTAACAAGCACCATGAAGTTTCTACTAAGCAATCATCACACTTCATTTCATCCTGGACTCCCGGCTTTAAGATATTCCCAAATCCAATGTAATATCAGAGCAAAAGGAATAATTACTAACTCTCTAAATTTTTGAAAAAATTACAAGGTTTAGTTTAGATACAACTTACCATGCCTTTGCAAAATAAACTCATTTGCCTCAACATATTCAGACTGTTGTGACCCAACAACAGCTTTAACTTGAAACCAGTAAGATATATAAGGGTCACATATTTCCTCTGAGACATCACAAAAATGAGCTGAAGTGTTCACACAGGTTGAGACGTTCTTATATTCACCTGGACTGTAAAACAGATCAAGTAATAGTTAATAAAATTTCAACTACACAGTTCTGTACAACACACTGCCTGTAACAACAAACTGTAAGGGTGGCCAGGACCTGTGAGGGCACAGATTGCCCAGGGAAGCTGTGGAGTCTCCTCGCCCAGGGATATTCAAAAGCCAACTGGACATAATCATGGATGACCTGCTCAAACAAGAGGTTTGGACCAGATGACCTTCAGAGATCCCTGCCAATCTCAACCATCCTATTACTTGACAAATTTTGCCTTGGGCAACCTCCACCCTATGTGACTTCACCACATAGATACAAAAGAATTTACCATGGACTAACTGCTTTTATATGCTTCTAGAGAATATCAGATACAGGAAATAACAAAATAATAAGAACTTACTTGTAAGGCTTGATTTCCACGATAAAACGAGGAGTTTCAGGCACAGGTGGGTATTGCCAATGCAAAACTGTTCTGAAATTTTCAGATGTTACTACAATCTCTGTTGGTGAAGGCACTAGAATGAAGAGAACACTTGCACTTTGATAAACAGACCTTCACAAACACAAGAACAGCCAAATATACTTCTAAATTATTTGGAAAAGACAACATGCTAGACATAAAAATCGCAAATGCTTCCCCCAAATGAGCTAGTCTGTCACCAGTACAAACACCTATGAGCCCTGTAAGCTGATGTATTATTCACTTCTGCAGAGACAGCTTTTGTCTGTATCAGGTCCATATGCACTGATGATTATAGCCCTGTGTTGGTCTTTTACAGATATAACAGCAAGACAGGTTGTAAGACTTTACTCAAGTTAGAGGAGATTAGCCCAGTTCCTGTAGATTTCTCTTGCTGTTCAGAAATTGAATTGGAGTGGATGGGCTGGGAGATGGTACTAGAGCTGGAGTATCAAGGCCAAAATACAACAGGCCTCCTAGGGAAAGCCTAGGGATTCCCTATGAATTTCTAACAGTGATACTTGTATCACTCCAGCAGTATTTTCAGTAAGATGTGATGACCAAAATAAACTACAAACATTTGTGAGGAATTTGAACATTGCAGCTATAATGTTCCATTTGAAGGAACGCATTTGAAGTACACTTAACAAACAATATCAGAGGTATTGTAGTAAAGCAATCCAAAAATAAGAAGCAACACTGACAGTCTGCCACATGCAGTAAGTATCTATTTCAAGCAGCAACCACAACAGGGATAATCAATGGAGCAGCTGCAGGGGAAGGAAAATTACAGGATCCCGTAACTGTTGAAGGCTGCCACATGATACTCAGAAAGAGAAGAGGAACGAAGGTCACTCAACCAAATTTAACTATTAGAATTCAGCTTCTCAGTGTCTGGTTTGGCATCCTTAGTACTCTCAATGTGGCTTTTACAAAATGTTGAGGGAACTCATATTTGACCTGCTCTGATGGGAAAGTAAACCATTTTCACATCCTGAGACCAAGACCACAAATATAACACATTACTGAAAGTAATACACAGAGGCTGAGATATGCTACTGACCACAGAGGTTTGACAAGATGCAATATAGATAACTCTGCAAATTTCTGTGGTTTATGTTTTAATACATACAAGAGTGGCATTTCAGCTATTGGAAAAAAAGCATCATCAAATTCACAACCACAAGACAAAAAAAAAGGTAGGTTGACAGAAGAGGTGTCAAGCACACTGATGGGCCAAAGCACACAAACATTACTTCAAATATGCAGTTTTAAGCCACAGTGTAGCTAGCCTTACAAAATTTTAACTTTAGTGTACTATTACGCAAAAGAAACTGCTTAACAAAAGGGGTTGAATCCAGAGCACTGAAGGAGGTAGCAAATGTTACAGTATGACCTCTCCATCATCTGCCTAAGGTTTGGGGAGATCCCTGCTGACTAGAAGCCAGCCACTATTCCAATAAGGGCATGAGGAAAGACCCAGGAAACCAGCCCTGTTAGCCTAACCTCAGCACCTGGAAAAATGATGGAGAAGATCATGTCAGGTGTTCTCGAAAGACATTGAAAAAAACAATACAATCACCAGGAACAATCAACACGGGTTCGTCCACAAAGTAAAAGCTCTGTTTAACTGATTTATTACATGCCTAGTAGGTAAAGGGAAGGCAGTGGATGTACTTTTTCTGGATTTTAGCACAGCTTTTGATACTCTCACTGTGTTAATCTAAACAAGCTGGCACACGCAGGCTCACAGCACACTGAGTGAAGAACTGGCTGAAGGGCAGAGCTCGAAGGGTTGCTGTGAATGGGGCTGCACCTGCTGGGGACCAGCAGTGTTCCCTAGGTCTCTGTTCTAGGGCCTGTCCTGTTCAGTATTTTTACCAATGAGCTGGATGCAGGAGCTGAATGCACCTCGGGCAAATCTCCCAATGATACTGAACTGGGAGGTGCTATCTACCCTCTCAAGGCATGCAAGGCCTTGCAGAGGGAGCTAAACAAATGGTCTTCCTTCTTTACTCAGGCTGGCCATCTGATTTCTAATCATTTCTTCTCCAGACAGTCCAGAGACAGTGTCTGGGGACACCACAGTCCCGTTTCACTTCAGTATCAAGAGTGCAGACCACAGAGGACACTGCAGATTTTCAAAGTGCTAATGTCTAATCTTTATAGATGCCATTTCTGCATACTGCCAGTTAAAAGGCCACACTACTTTATGTGAACACTGTTTAACTTAACCCATAATGAAGCTTTCATTTTTCTAAACATGTTTCACCACGTTCCATGTTGTCCTGCAGGCACAAGTGGAAGATGACAATAGCAGTTAGTGCCACGAAGGTAATCGTTAAACATAAAACTTCTTTTAATTTATAATAAACATAAATGCAGCAACACTCAAAGTGCAAATTCAAACAGGGAGACAGCAAGAATGGAAAGAGAGAAGAAAACTGATCAGCAATTCATGTCGTAATGCACGACAGGGAAAACTCATCAAGTTCTAGTTTGCATCCAGTTCAAAGTGATTCCTATCTGCAGTTCACCTTGCCTTATAAGACAGTAATACTGGCTGCTGAGAAGCTAACAGAGAACAGCAAGAACAATTTTTTCACAGAAATTTAAATGTGTACGTGCACTGTATAACAGCATAAAAGGAACTTCAGGAAACAGCTCTACACCCACAGAATAAAGGAATTGTCCTGGGGTGACTTTATGATGATGAATTGTATCCCCATTTTTTTATTTAGCCCAGAAATAAGTTTTGCACTTTAAAACTAGATCTGAGAGTGAAGAGGGGGAGAAGGAGAAGCAGTTGAATATCTGAGGTGGTTGTATTCAAAAACATAAAGATAAGAGCTTCAGCTTTCCTTCTCACAGATTGTGTTCTCTGCAGCAGGGACAGCAGGAGAGAGCTCTCCTTTGCTTTTTGGTTAGTTTCTTTTAGCTAGCTGAGGCAAAGAAGTTCCCCAGACTGTGGCTTTTCTTTTTATTGGAACTGATCAGCCCTGCTCTAGACCAAAAACTCGCAAGAACACCAGCAGCTCACACCTGTGGCCCACCGGCCGGGACACGGCATTTCCCAGCGCAGGAGGGACTGAGCGAGCCGAGCTACACTCCATGACAAGGACTCTCTCTGAAGTTGCTGTCTCTTCAGAACAGCAAGACGTTTTATTGTTTAATATTATTCATTTTTTTACGCTTGTGAATACTTTGCTTGTTAAATAAACAGTTTTTTCCACTTTTCTCCACGGAAATATTTTTCCAAACCAGTACAAGGAAGAACTCCTTTGGAAGTTTCCTCCCAAATTTGCCCTAAACCAGGGAGGCAAAGGTAGGCCAATCAGATACACCTTTTTTAAGCGTGCCAGAAGAAATCAAACATGCCTGTATTTTGAGGATAAAGAACTGAAATTTTGGAAAGCAAAGGTAGTACTAAGACAAGGATAAAAGTAAAGATAAGCATGACCACAGGAAGTTTAGCATTAAACAGAGAACAGACGTGGGAATACAGCCACAGAGTTTATCTCAGCAAATTCACACCTGCATCAGTTTATAAATTGGACAGAAATCTACTTATTTGTCCACATGTAAACAACCCAAATTATTGCTGCCATACTGATGGCAAAGATGTCATCAGGTGTGACTACTGTGGAACATGAATGTGAATATACATAATCAAACACCCTCTCAACATGCAATCATCTTAGCCAATGTATTTAAGATGTAGTAGACATTTACATCTTCAGCAAACTTGCATGGCAGACAGGAAGGAAATACACGTAGGAGAAAATTAAAAGCCAAACTCCACTGAAAGACTTGTTTTACTGCAAGTATCTGCTGCTGTTTGATTTCAGGTTGCTAAGAAGTAAGGGGGATGTTGGGTTGGGCTGGTTTGGCGGGGTTTTTTCAGAGTAACATACACAAGTATGCCTAGCTGTGTCTTCTTAGACTAAGACAGATAAAGATTAGAACTAATCCACTGCTTGCACACAATATATGATGCAGTTCTGCTTCAAAAGTGTACATCAGCAAGGCAGAAAATTCTTGTTTTAACCTACAAGACAAATGTAATCCGTGAAGAACAAGTCCAGCTTGTTTTATACATTCACTTCCCTGAGTCAAAAACAACCACTGCACATTTCTCACGAATCTCAGCAGGGTCAGACATATGTAAACCATATAGACATAAAGAAAGATTTCTTTACCAGGTTTAAACCTGACATTCTTGTTGACTATATAAGTGTTCCGGAGCAATACTACCTATGGAAAGTACTAATGAAACACAAGTTTGAAGCAGCCATATAGTAAATAAAATCTATTTTTAAAGCATATACAGAGGGACTTAATGTTTTGTACATATGTAGATGTCCTACCTGTTCACTGAGCCTTGGCAATGCATTGCCTAGAGCAAAAATTAATTCAATGAACTGGACATTTCCGAGATGTAAAAATGAGACAGCTTTCAAGCTGATACTTGTATCTTGTGCAAGACTGAAATTCTTCCCCTCATTCTTGCATTACCGTATACACAGAGGGATTCGTCAGCACTGCTTATGCAAGTGGAGTTCAGCTGAAGTGCAATACTGCACGAAACAGAACTGGTCCTGATGAATCCACAATGCAGAGTTTATGCTACAGCTACCTGAGACTACAGCAGCCCTAGAAGCCATAAAAGTTCATTCAAGTCCTATGTGACTTTTAATCATCATGTAGGCACCAAAATACAGACTGAAAGCACAACCAGAAAGCTTGAAAATGCAAATTGTGAAAAAAATAACATAACGTATTTTGAAAGTTTGTTCCTTTTTTGTATTTCCTTTAAAAAAAACCAAATTCTTATAATCCCCAAGTGACACATCATAGGAGAATACTTACAAGCCACTTCAACAGGCCAAGAGGGACAATAGTTTGAACTTCGCTGTAGAATCATGGTTGACTCATCATTTAAAGACAGCTGCAATAGTAACCAGTTGGTGCCTTCTGGCCCCCTGACTGGGAGAAGTGTGCCTTTTTTGTACCAGCCCTGTGTTCTACTTATAGTTGCTTCAGCTCATAGATTCCCAGAATATTCTGAGTTGGAAGGGACCCACAAGGATCATTGAATCTAACCCATAAATGGCCCATGGGGAACCTGAGCTCACATAACCCACTTTAACTGCACCCAGAAAAGGTAGCAGTTCTGATGACTTCACAAATGCAAAAATGTCACACTCCATAGCTTTCATCACCCATGAAAATTAAGAAAAGGGGAAAAAGATTAGATAAACTTGCACTATCTTTGAATGCTTCTCCAGTATTCTGCAGCTATATGCATTGAAAAAAAAAAAACAGAAAAAAAGGTGGCAAAAAGGAAATCAATACTCTCAAAGACGGATTCAGAAGGCAGCAAGTCAATGCTAAGGATAAAAAATAGCACATAAAGAGTTTAGTCTATCTCTGAAAGCCGAATTTCCTTAATTTTTTTTTTTTTTGCCCAACTTGGGATTCAAAGGGTTTGAGATAAGAACAGACTTGACTGGTATGCACTAGACTGAATTTACAATTGTTAGTACTGTTTAGCTAGTAATGAGCAGGCTCCTGTGCTTGCTCTGGGGCTCACTTTCCTGACTGTGTATCTGAGCCCAGGGCTCATTGCTTTCACTGCTTGCTGTACTGCTTATCACCTCACAGCAGTGTGCCTAGGAACATTCTGTTAACAGCCATGGCAAAACACACGGGCTGGCAGGTGGCCAGGGTATTGCTGCTTTCTGTACTGTACCACATTCAGGACATAAAGTGAGAGGGAGAAGGAGGAAGTGTGGGACATTTGGACTGATGGTGTTTGTCTTTCCAAGTAACCCTTCCCCATGACAGGGCCCTGCTCTCCTGGAAATGGCTGAACACCTGTCTGCCCATGGCAAGCAGTGAATTATTGTTTTGCTTTGCTTGTGTGTGTGGCTTTTGCTTTCCCACCTAAACTATCTTTATCTCAATCCATGAGTTCTCCAGCTTTTACCCTTCTGATTCTCTCCTCAGTCCTGCTGGAATGGAGTGAACAAGCAGCTGTCTGGTGTCAAAAGGGTCCTCCTAATCACAGCTGTCTGGTGTCAAAAGGGTCCTCCTAATCACTTCAATCTGTTCTATATAAAACAAAATTGGCCTGCACTAAAAGCAGAGTTCAGACACCTGGGGGCTAGACGAGAGTTAGGAGGACTGCCCAGCACCACAGGATCAAAACTGAACAGCAAGTGGTCACTGCTCACCACAAGCTGCAGGAGCACCAAGCATGTACCTTAGGGAGGAATGGGAAGTCTGCCAGAGCAGTGGTTCTGCCTTCTGCCATGTTCCCCTTCAAGGCAGCACACCTGGGTTAACACAGACCCCTCTCTGTGCACTTCTGGCAGGCCAGGCACCAAACAGCTCCTGCTCCTATCAGACTGCTGGCAGGAGGGGAACTGCCTGTTGGCTGTGCTTGGTTAGGAGCTTGGGAGACTGGCAAGCACCAAGGAACAAGGTGATGAAGAAATTTTGTACCTGCTACCTGATTGGCTTTCTTTTAAGTGGCAGCAGCCATGTGGTGTACGTGAAAATGCTTGCATGTGCTTGCCTTCGCCCACTTTCATTTATCCCTCCAAAAGAAAGCCAGGATGTGCACTTCTCTGGTAATGCCACTCCCAAACCTGGATGTTACACTTCCTTAAAAGATTTACTGCAAGCAAGCTTAAATTAACGCATGTAACAGCAATTTATGCAAAAGGTTCTACCAGAAGTTCTCAAAAGACCTCAAATTCACAAAGGAATTAGTTCACAAATTAAATGAGTACTATGACTGGCATAAAATTTAAAGCTATTAATTTTTTAAATATTTACTCAAATTAACTTAAATGATTTCCCAAGTATCATGAATAAACATTATACATAGTAGATAGAGCATTTTTACAGCTTCTATCTACAACAGAATTTTATCTTCTAAGGGCTCAGAGGTTTAACATTGCTCTATGGAGTTTTTAAAATCATTGTTTATGATAAAAAGCTCCACAAGGTTGTAAACTGTACTATGAGGAGTAGTAGATTGAGATTACCATCTTGAGAAAAACCACTGCAAGTTGCACAAGATGGACACTTTAAAAAGCGGATGTAATAATACAAGCTAGATATTGTTTTATCTATTTTATGAATGTCCATCCCTTTTGGTATAGATGGGAAGTGTTGTAATAGATGATACCTAAATTCAGCACTTTCTGCTATCTAATTTGTTTTTGTTTGCAGCTTGACAGTCAATTGCTATGAATGTCAATAATCTGAACCATAAACAAAACAGGAAGTCATCTGCCTAAGTGAACTACACATGTCCTTGGAAATGTGGCTTACAATGTGCAGTAAGCACCTGAACCGCCACCACAGCCTCTAAATCTTCTTTACCTTGACCACAGACCTTGTCTTCCACAATACCAAAATACAGACTGAGAGTTCCCATCAACACGTGCCCAGCTCCACTGTGGAGTCAGAGGCCTATCAATGCAGGCAGGTTAGGCACCCAGCTTAAAGAAATGCAGGTGGTGTTCCAGCTGCTGGGCTGTCTGGCTTCATTCCTTTTCTAAGAAAAACAGTGTCCTACAATGAAAGATGAAGATGACTGAACATTTCCTCATTACACACTCAGACTTGACATATGTATTATACTACCGGCACACTGAAAGTCCTGTAAGACTCAAGGAAAAAAAAATCATATAACTGTCGCCATGGAAATTCTAGGCTCCTCAATACAAGAGAGACATGGAGTTCATGGAGCAGGTCCAACAGAGATCTACAAAACTGATCAAGAAATTGGGGCATCTCCATTATGTGGAAAGGGTGAGGGAGCTAGGCCTGTTCAGTCTCAAAAGGAGATGACCAAGAGGGCACCTCATCAATATCTACAAGTATCTGATAAGAGCCAAGAAGATCATTTCTCACTGGCGCCAAGCAATAGAACAAGAGGCAATGGGGAGAAACTAACACACAGAAAGTTCCACCTGAATATGAGGAAGAACTTCTTTACTATGTGCGTAACCAAGCACTGGAATAGATTGTCCAGAGAGGCTGTGGAATCTCCCTCACTGGAAATAATCAAGAATCATCATCTGGATGCAATCCTGTGCCATGTACTCTAGGATGACCGTGACTGAGCAGGAAGGTTGGACCAGATAACCCACTTACATCAATATCATAATAAGTGAGGACATGCTATTAGTCATTACGTATAAAACCAGCATTTTTATTCAACTAATACACAGAATTGTCAGTTAGAATTCCCTTCATGATGCTTTTGCTCATGAAAAAGAAAGTTTTTACTTATAGTAAAAACTATGTGAGCAAGCTGAGTGCAAGTCACCAAGAAAATTCTGCTTGAGTTTTCAAAACCTATACAAAAATACATTCTGCTCCTTTCAGCTGAGAGTTTGCTGCACTCACATGCAGGAAAGTGAGCTTTCTGCTTCTAGGCAGCTTGCTACATCATCTACACCACAGCTCTCTATGTTTACAGAAATAACTGTTGTGGTGGACTAGGCTGCATTATAGCAGGTTTGTTTGACACGACTTACTGGCATTGTGTTTTTTACCCTAAAAATGTTTAATACAATGTAGAAGTGGTATCTTTTACTAGCAGTTAAAGCACGCACTTGAAAGACATTAGGTTGGAGAAATATTTAACAATCAAGAGATTGTTAAACAATTATTGTGTTAAACAATTGTTGGACGATATTTAACATATCAAGATACCTTACTGATCCAATGTGGAGAAAAGGTAAGTTTCCCTGCAAAGTTTGCCAGTTACAATCAGACACCAAGTCAAACAAACTGGATAATCAAAACGCAAACTATTAAGGGACAAGAATGCAAGCAGATTGCCACTGCTACTCCAAATCAGACAAAGCTAAGCAGACTTCCAAAGCATGGTGTGGCCCATGCTCAGGGGCAATCACGCTCAGTCATTTCACCTGGGCTTGGATCTGAATTACAGAAAATATCCATCTGCAGAACCCAAGGAGCGTGGGCCCGCTCTCAGCAGTATCAATAAAAATTAAATGCATGTTCCCTTTTGAATATTAGATAGCAATCTCTGTTTTTAATTAACTTTTCCAGTTTAAAATGAAACTAGTAAGCCTCACTATTTATTTTCTAATTTACATGTCAAAACTCCGTGCAAACAGCCACTATGCTGTTCTCCGCTGGCAAGCCACTCCTCCTTCCCAGGAGCGCTTGGCCAAAACGTGCGAGTTCCAGGCCGCGATCCCAATACCTTCTTTACACTCCCCATTCCTGCGCTCCCCATTTTCGCACCGCAATTCCCAGTTTCTCTACTTCTTTGGACATAGGAAGCCACAAAGCAGAGAGGAGCAGGCCTGTCCGACGCGCACGCCGCTCTCGCTTTGGGTGCCAAAATGCGCGAACATCCGAAACGAAGGCTGATGTCACCGCGCTGCGCCACGACACGGCCGCCGGGCCGGGCTGCACCGCGCTCCCCAGAGAGCCCGGCCGGGGCCTCGGCGGCACAGCACACCGCAGCCGGGCACAGCACAGCAGCGGAGAGCAGGGGCTCCTCTCCGCCCTGCCCGGCCGCTCGCACGGCCCCGACGGCTCCCTGCGCCCGCAGCGGCCGGCGGCACCCACGCGGGGCCCGCGGCCCCACCGGCGGCGCTCGGTCACGGAGGGTTCCGGCCGGTGCCGCCGCCCCTCAGGCGACCCGTGCTGCCCATCGGCCGGTCGGTCAGTCGGCCTGCCCGGGCTGCCCCATCCCCCCGCCTCGCCCCGCCCGTTACCTGCGGGCGGCTGCTCCCCCTGGGAAGCCGCGCCCCAGCGGGGCGCCAGCAGCGCCGCGAGAGCCAGCAGGGACAGGGACAGGGACAGCGGCGGCCACATGGCGCCCGGCGGGCACCCGAGCGGGGAGCGAACAGGACGCCCCGCACACAGCCCCGCCGCACCCCGCACAGGCGCCTGCAGCCCGCCCTGCTCCGCTGCGGCGCCTGCGCCGGCCGGGAAGGGGCGGGATGCCCGGCAATGGTAGTGCGGGGGCGGGCGGCGGCGGCGAGGTCACAGCCGGGCAGCTTCCCGGGGGCGCCGGGGGAAGGGGTGGAGGGCGGAGCTGCGGGTTGGCCCCGGCCCCGGCCCCGGCCCCGGCTATGGGGAGGATGTTGTGCTCCGCCGTGCCCGCTCCGGCTTTGTTAATGCTGTATTTGAAGTGCTGGTGCTGGGCCATGCCTGTCAGCCCCAGCCGCTTGGAAAGCGCCGTCCAGCTCGTCTTGTTGCGACTTGCGCTCTCTCCCAATTTCTTAAAAAACCACGAAATGTTCACTCTTTGGAGTGTTTCAGAAACAGCACACGGAACTCATACACGTAGAGGAGTCATAACTTATGCTGGGAGGCTTTATTCTTTCTTGGAAATAACCTAAATGTATATGCATTTCAAAAAATTGAAGTCTGCTGAGCAGGATGGAGACTGCAGTTTTTGCCACCTTACGGTTCCTGTGTCTCCCATCCAGTGTCCCAATGCCAGGTAATTCTGCACCTTAACCCTTCAAAGTCAAGGCCACCCTGGGCCAGATGAGAAGGAGGACGCAGAACAACCCTCTTTCTGCTGCATGCCTCTGCAGCTGTGATGAGGATGTTGCAGCTATTTAAGCTCTTGTAAGTAATTTTGCAAATAATGCTTTTTCCAGATGTAAAATGGAAGCACCTTGTAGGATCGTTGACATCCACACGTCTTCTCAGGCTTTCAAGGAGACAGGAAAGAGGAAACAGAGCTACTGGCCAGAGCCGTTATGCTTCCCCTTTCCCATACCTCTCTTTGAAAAAGTTCAGCTGCTCCCTCTCCTTTATTTCCTGTCCCAAGCATTAGTTCACTCCCTAGGGAAAGGTGTGGAAAAATTGATTCTCTTGGTATCTGCTATCTACAGTGGCAAAACTCAGGAGACAGCACAATTCGCTGTGGGGGAAGGAATGATTAGCAAGGGGAGAAGAGAGGAGGTCACAAGCTAGCAATAGATGCTGAAGAAACCACTCCACTGTTACAGCCCCAGAAATCGTGGTGTTCGCAGAGGTAATAAGGTGGTACTGTGGGGTGTAGGATCAGTGTGGAGTAGAGAGCTAACATCTCCTCCCAGCTGTGCTGAGGTTGAAGAAAATGGATTGTGAAACTATATTGACTTTGCTACCAAATGACCCTCACAGACTTACCTTTGTGCTTAATGCAGTGTAGTAGCAAGCTCTTCACAATCAACAAGCACTTAACTGCCTTGACTGAAGTACTGAGCACTCACTGGCTCTTGGATTTTAACTTCCTGAATGCTACTGCATGTTATTTTCTAGCACATTTTTCTGGTACATAATGAGAGGACGAGAAGAAAGGCCTCACACTGTGACAGAGGAAGTTTAGATCAGATATTAGGAAAAATTTCTGCATCAGTGTGGTTGCCAAACATTACAACACAGCTTCCCAGGGAAGCGGTTGAGCCACTATCCCTGGATTAAAGAAGTGCATATGTTACACTTAGAGGCAGGGTTTAGTGGTGGACTTAGCAATGTTTCAATAACAGTGGATTTGGTGATAGATATAAGGTGATGGTTTTTTTCAACCTACATGATTCTGTGATTGAAATTATTATTTTATGCAAAATTAAGTAAGAACAAGGCATCACTAGCCCTGGATAGAATTTAGGTGTTCTGACAGTTGTTTCAAAGGCTGACAGTGTACCTAATGTGGCTGCCACATAAACAGATAAGATAAGATTGTGGGTGCTTTATAACAATACTTGAGAGACTTGAAAAAACATGAGAAGGGAAATCAGTGAATAAAATTCAAGCCAGCTCTGTATGGAGAAAGTAAATATAGTAGCACTTATGAGAGCTGTTCCTGGCATACCTGTACCACCAAAACCCTGTACACAGGTCCTGGCAGGGGATGTTCTCACTGTGCAGTCAATGTAGTCTATCACCACCAAAACATTGCCAACTTGCTCAAATTCATCACTGTCTTGAAGTGTTACACACTAGAAAAAAAATAAATTGGCTAATATGTCAACTGTCATGTAACTTCCTCCTTTGCTCTTCACACTCAGCCCAAGTGCTGGTCATGTGCCTTTTTGTCAGAAAAGGTCCTTACAAGATAAACAACTTCACACATCGTGGGACAAATTTCCACATCCTTTTGCTTGGTTGTTTGTTTGCTTGTTTGTTTTCTTAGCTGTCACTTAGTTGTGTCACAGGGTTACTGTGCCTTCTTCATGTGCATGTGCATGTGCAGTAGCTTTCCTTGTAATTTTGCTGTCCTTGAAGAAGTAGATACAGGATTTTCACCTCACTTAGACTGAAATGCCTGCTCCTTTGATTCAATACCACAGTCATTGCACCACATTTTCTTTAAATGTTGTCATAAAGAGAAATCACGGACACAGAGAAGTTATGTCTAACCAGAAGTTCCCCCAGTGATTAAAAGTACTATCTGTGCTCACCTTCCAAAGGTGAAAGTAATCAAACACATACACAGCTCCAAAATAAATAAAATTTAAAAGTGCTCATTTGTGATAATTTAACTTCTATACATGCCATTAATCTGTCAGGAAGTTTAAATATTCTCATATAGAGAATATTACTACATGTTCTCAATATTCTCTTACAGTAAAAATATACATTTGGCCTTCCAGGACCATCATTCCTAACTCTCCAGCAGTC